GTGGACAATGCCATTCTCACTAATCGCCAAAGGGTTGAAACAGGAACGCACACAACAGAGCACCACAGACAAACCACTTAACTCACTGACGCCAGCTCACTAACAGTCGCGGGAGACCCCCAGCTAACACCACCTAGCAGCACACCTCGTAACTACAAAGTATGCGCGCGCAACAGGTCGGTTCCGGTTAATTTTGGGTCCCTCTTCGTACAGGGTCTGGCAAATCGACCTCCCGTATTTGGAGAGGGCGCTGTGTGAGTTGTGGTGGGGGATACGGCGGCGGAGGGGGTATCGATCGATGGCGGTATAAGTGCCATTTGCAGTAGTCACAATGGCGTGGCACGGTGAGCATCGTGCGTTTGTTGTGGAAGAGTATATTCCTAATGGTGAATCGGTGATTACTACTCAGCGAGCATTTCGCATTCGGTTCGAACTTGGCCGACATGATCCTGTTCCGGATAGAAAAACTATTCACGTTTGGGTATCAAACTTTAGAGCAACAGGTTCTGCACTGAAAAAGAAATCACCTGGCTGACCTCGGACCGTAACAATGCCGGAAAATGTGGCGCGTGTGAGAGCGTCCATCCAGCAATCTCCAAAGCGTTCAGCACTTAAACATGCAGCTGCCCTGGGATTGTCTGATAGGAGTGTAAGAAGAATCCTGCACAGAAATCTACACATGCACCCATACAAAATGATGGTTACCCAAGAATTAAGTGAGAGAGATTTTGAAACTCGCAAAGCTGCGTGTGAGGACATTCTTCAGAACATTCCCTCTGGCGCTGTTTTGATTTCATCTGATGAGGCCCACTTCCACTTGTCAGGTACTGTAAATAAACAAAATTTCCGCTACTGGTCAGCAGAAAACCCTCAGGAACTTCACCAACGACCACTTCACAGCCCTCGTGCGACAGTTTGGTGCACTGTTACTGAATTTGGTGTGTGGGGTCGTTATTTTTTCGAGGAAAATGGGCTAACGGTAACGGTTACTTCGAATCGCTACTGTCACATGATTGAGACCTTCCTCCGACCTAAGTTAAACCAGTTTGTTGGGGACCATGAAGAGGGACAAGCCTGGTTCCAACAAGACGGAGCCACAGCTCACACTTCGCGGTGTTCTTTAGCAATTCTGAGAGAGTTGTTTCCTGGACGTCTTCTCTCTTTGTGAGGAGACATCGCCTGGCCCTCAAGGTCACACGATTTATCACCTTGTGATTTTTTTCTTTGGGGACACTTAAAGGCGCAAGTGTACAAACATCGCCCCACAACCCTGCAAGCACTTAAGGAGGCAATCACCCAGGCAGTGGCTGCCATTCCACTGGAAATGACACGAAGAACTATGGACAACTTCCGGGAAAGGCTTCTTCAGTGTGTGAACAATGGAGGACGCCATTTACCGGAAATAATTTTTAAAACCAAGTAATGTAAAATAGCATCGTATTTGTTGTTCACAAAGAAAAGTATTTTTTCTGTATCTTTCTTTGTTTGTTTGTAACTGCCTTTTGAAATACGGGAGGTCGATTTGCCGGACCCTGTACTTCACTTCAGCAAGAACTTTACACTTATGTTTTTGTTTCTTGTTTCTTAAAGAGTCCCACTGATCTCAGTGTATTCACAAAATTGTGAATTGTTTGTCTGCTGGGAACTCTTTCATCATGAAATTTACATCAAAATTTTCGAGCAGATACGTATTTCACATAGGTATCATACAGAAATACATGTTCCTCTAAAGTATACCGCAGCATGATGGAACATACTGCTCACTGATTGCAACTTAGAACAAACAGCTAATGGAGCTGATAACTTCTGTCCACTGCTGACAAATCATAAATTCCAATGCATGAACCACATTGCTTGCTGTCAAGCAGTCCACAAAGTTAATAACTTCCCTTCATTCCAAACATTATTGGCCAAATTCATACGTGCCTCGTAGCCAGCAGTGCACTGGTCACTGTGAAGCACAGTGCCATGAACCAGTCAACAAAGGTAAGAACTTCCCTGTATAATTGTCATATATTTAGAAAACACCAAAAACACAATTTGTATCATCACAGTTTATCCAATATGAACTGGTTACATAAGAAAGGTGCTTAAACATAATTTAGGCCAGAAGTTCTGGAAACTTCATTATCTTACTTAAATGCATTCTTTTGAGGTCAGAATATAGAAGTAGAAATGAATACTTCCAACCATCATATTGTGACATGGATGGCGTAACAGGAAGTAGGGGTCACGTGAACTCTGCGTTCTCGCGAGTGACATCATGTACCCGCACTCCTCCCATCATTACACAACGCTCGGTAAACACCCCTCCCCACTAGGCTGTGACGTCATGCAACAGGTGAGTCCATGCAGCGACTATTGCTAGGCAATGCGTAGGTAGAAACACCTGACAACTGGTGCTGAGCAGCAAGGTGTTCTCTATGTTGTCCGTGCCGAGCCTAAATAAGGAGCAGTGAACACTAGTCAGTAGTAGTGAGTATTGAGCCAGTTACTAGTATTCAGTATTCCGTATGAGTTGAAGTCCAGCAGCTACAAGTTGAGTTGTGTCGAGTGAATGGCAGTGACTCCAGCAGGACAAGTAATTGTGAAACTGTAAGAGTGAGTGGAATATATTCGATAGATCCAAGACAGCATGAAGTTATTTGTTGCATTACATACCCAACATGTGACGATATGTTTATGTAATATTCTGAAATTACTTCAGTTTACTAACTGTGGGGGGAAAAAGCCCTTCTTAAGAAACTAATATCACTCAGCTAGTCAGGAAAATTAATTTTTTATGGAAACTGAATGTTCGACATACTTCTGATTTTAGGGGGGCATGCAGTAGTGTAGCTGGTTGAGGCACTATGTTACAAGGTGTAAGGTCATGGGNCTTCGATTCCTGATGAGGTCACTGGATTTTTCAATTGACGTAATCCTTCCAGCCGCACTATGGCCCTGGTGACAACTCAGCCTCTAACAGAAATGAGTACCAGAAATTTTCCTGTGGGTAAAGGGCTGGCTGGCATGTGAGGCTGACAACCTTACCACCATCTGTTACTGATTTTCTTCAAAGTACCTCAGACAGATTAAAGTTTACAAATATCTGTCATATTCAAGGTGGACTAGTGAGAATTATGCTCATAATTAATCCAGATGATAAGGGGTTAAAACAAAATGGTGGAAAGTCATTTGAATTTAATAAAACAATGAAACTGCACATAAAATGATTTTCATAGCAGAAAAATCTGAAGATATTAAAAATTAACTGGGCATATAATGGCCTAAATTATGTATTAGCATCTTTCATGTAACAATTAAAAATACTGGTGTATCTTAAACATAGTGCTTGAGACCAGATGCAAAAATCCCCTACTACTTCTATGGATGCAATTGTCACAGTTACATACACTCACTGTGACTGTAACGTCACATTTTTATGCAGCACAGATAATTTAAACACACACTTCCTTTCTGTCAACTGATCACACACACTGCTGCAGCACTCACAGGTCCATCATAGAATCTTCTGAAGCAGGGAATCTGTAAATAAACAACAGATATTACTGTTTGGCTGAGACCACAAAATAATATTCCCCTTTTTATAGATTTCCCACAGGCCCAATCATGGACCTACAACCAAACTTATCACTTCATAGTACCCTGCTGTACACACCCTACTTGACCTGGCCAATCCCAAATTGGCTAAAGAAATGCTGGCTTCTAAAATGAAAAGGTATTGCACCAACATTCATATATCATGTGTGTAGATGTGAATATGTTTTAAAATAATTCCGGTACACAGAATGTCTCCCAGTATGTTTTTCTTTTTCCTTGCAAATGCCCCCAAATGTTTCAAGAATCAATAATCTACATCAAGTCTTGATCCAGAGCAAAATGGCTCAGCCAGGTACCAGAAGAAGTCAAGAAAAGGGGAAAGAACTGCCAGAAGTCAAAAAGAAAGATGGGGGGGGGGAGACAGAAGTTGGAGATTTTTCATTCATTGACCTGTATAAAACAGAAATGATGGTCAAAAAAAGAAGCTGGTTCTGATGTGCTTTTTCCATCTTTAGGATTTCAGTTGAAACATTATTTAACTGCATATATATAAAGTACTACGAGAATAAACTTCACATTCAAGTAATTTTTTAAATGAAAGCAAAGCATCTGAGTGACTCTCAAAACTTAAGGAAGTGGCTGAAGCTCAGTCATGAGGAAAATATACAGAAAAGCATACCCTGGTGTAGAAATGGAGTTGAGGTCCACCACACTTGTGTTGTTATTGTCTTCTTCTGTTTGACCTCTTCCTTCTCTGCTGAGTAATGGGTCGATACTTCCAGCAGGGGGCTCCCACAGCACTAGGGCCATGTTTGGTTTTTCCCTGCACATGAAACAGTTTGTATATGTAAATAAGAACATCATTACTGTTTATGGAATTGGAAAACCACTGACATATTTAAAAACACTTATATTTTTACATCATAAACTGGTATGTGCAAATTTATTTCGGTGAATCTTGTTTCTTTATGTAGTGACAGTTGCATTACTATGAATGGTGAGCTAAAGGAAACATACGATGGGGTACCCAAAAGAAACCGAACTAATTTTTTTGTGGGCAGAGCTTTTGTAGTACCGCGTTTTGCCGCTATGAGCGCATAGAGCTAACATTCCTGAGTCGATAAGCCGACTACCGTTGCTTCAGAAGGTAAGGACTAGTTTCGGCAGAGTTTATAGTGACAACTGTTTTGTGTGATCGTCGTTTTTGCAATGGCTGATTTTCGTGAACAGCGTGCGGCGGTGAAATTCTGCTTTTTGCTCGGGAAAAGTGGAACAGAAACTCTTGAAATGTTAAAAACGGCATACAAGGACGATGCTATGGGGAAAACTCAAGTGTTTGAGTGGTTTTCCCGTTTCAAAAATGGTGAAACGTCAATTGATGACAAACCTCGTTCTGGTCGTCCTTCCACGGCCCGAACACATGAAAATGTTGAAAAAATTCGTGAAATCATCAAGGAAGATCGACGACGGACCATTGAAGAAATTGTGGAGCTGTCGGGAGTGACTTGGAGCTCAGCGGCCAGATTTGTGGCAGTCGGGTGACTGGTTTTTCCATCATGACAATGCCCCTGCTCACACAGCCCTGTCTGTACGATAATTCTTGACCAAAAATGGTATGACCTCACCCTCCATACTCACCCGACCTTGCCCCGTGCGACTTTTTTTTGTTTCCTCGAATGAAAAGAGACATGAAAGGTAAAAACAACGGAGGCGCTGTCAAGCATCTCAAAAGATTAATTTAGACAATGTTTTGAAAAATGGAATAAAAGACTTGACAAGTGTATCGGTGTAAGTGGAGAGTACTTTGAAGGGGACTGAAGGTTTGTGCTTAAAATTTGAATAAATAAGTTAAAAAAAAAAGTTCGGTTTCTTTTGGGTACCCCGTCGTATATGGTGTATCTTGAAGTACTAATCGTCACATATGTCTGGACAGAGGAAACCTTAACAAAAAATCTCAGAACTCCAACCAAGAACGTCCTGAATAAGAAGCAGAAGTGCTAACCACTACATTGTGATGTTTGGTGTGATCAGTTGGAAGTATGCAGTATCATGACCACATGATATAAACAGACAGTCACAATAAACATCAGTCATGGGTCACTCACAATCTGGAAAGCAAAGAAGAGGGCAATATAGGCTCCTGCTTTAGCTTCCTGAGCTCTTCACAGAGCACAAGGCGTTTCAGTTGCTGCTGCTGATCCTCTCTTGGTTCAAGCTCTTGGGGGGGTGTGTAATCTGGACTAATGTGTAGCTGACTCAGGTGTGCTGCCATCTTTTCTTCGGTGATGTGCTGCTTCGCTGGTAACCTGCATAACAATACAACACTTAGTGAATTCACTTTCTCTAAAGCAGGTGTTCTCAACCTGTGTTTCACAAAGTCTTTTCAGAGTAGGCATGGTGTTTCAGGAGGTTTGCCAGGAAGATACACAGTGATGAATTCTCTGTCTGCCAATAATCTTTCAGTCAAATTTTCAGGACACGATGATATAGGTGTTGCTTCTCTTTTGTCTTGTTTTATAAAAATTTATTTTTGTAGCCTCTTGTAGTTGCAAAGTTCAGATACACAGTCTGTCAAATAAATGGACTGATTTAAGAGGCAATAACCATCACCAGCCTTTAATGAGTGTGCCTTCTGCAGAGTACCATGTTTTATGTTGTAACACCTCTTAATTTGGGAAAAGCCTGACATTAGGAGGAACATATCAGCTCCATCTTCATGGTTGAAGAGCAAGCCAAGCACATACACGTACATCAGTCCACCAGTGTTGTCAGTTGTTGCACAAAAAAATCAGTAGACGGTATGTCGAATATACAGTCACACTTGACTATCTTTCCATTCATCTGAGAAGGAAAATAGCCTGGCAAAATATATGCCTGTAAAAAGTAAAGCTCCCCACCAATGGTATCTCCATCTTATCGTGGTGGTGGGGTTTGAGAGCTCCCAAGACCCTGAGAACTATGCCGGCGGTAGCGTAGCTACTGGTAGGGCCACCCATGCCGGACAGGTCAAGGGGTAGGAGCCAGAGAGGGATACCCTGGTCCTCCAGGTTGGGGGTTGGGTGTGAGGCCAACAACCTCGCACCGTAAAAACTAAATTGTTCAGAAATCTGAGGAAAGAGTAGCCAGACAGACCTATTCAAGATGACCTGGAAAATGTTTAAAGGATTTGAGAATTGGATCTTGGAATGTATTATCTCTTTACAGAGCCGGAGCACTAAAAATGCTACTTGAACAACTACGTATAGATAGCTATAAACTAGATATCACTGCTATACAAGAACTGAGGTGGTTGGGTAAAGGAGTCATGGAAAAGAGGGATCATGTTGTATTCTATAGCTGTCAGAAGGAGAGTCACATGTTTGGAACAGGTTTTATTGTTAATAAAAGAAGAAAGCATCTTATTTTAGACTTCCAGGCAAAATCTCACAGAACATGTAGGCTACGAATTAAGGGAAAGTTTTTTAATTATAGCCTTCTTTGTGCACATGCCCCAACTGTAGATAAAAGTGATGAGGAGAAAGACTCCTTTTATGATGAACTGGATGAAATGTATGGCGAATGTTCAAAAGAGACTGTAAAATGCTAAAGTAGGGAATGAGGATGTATATAGATCGGTTATTGGAAAACATAGCCTACATAACAAGTCAAACAATAATGGGATGGGATTAATAAATTTTGCTTCCTCAAGAAACATGGTAGTAGGTAGTACAATGTTTAACCACAAAGATATACATAAACAAACCTGGAAATCCCCTGATGGAAATGTGTTTAACCAAACTGATCACATCCTTATAGATGTAAGACATTGTTCGGACTTGATGGATGTCAGGAGCTACAGGGGGGCCAACATTGACTCTGATCATTACTTAATAATATCAAAGATTAGAAGTCGAATATCTAATGCAAGGAAGATACATGGATCGCAGGCTAAGAAATTGAATTGTGGAAAATTGGTGGAACAAGGAGTTGCAACCAGATATACTGGATTAATTGGTGAATGCCTGGCAGGTCTCTCTGATAGTGAGGAAGCTTGGAGGGGCCTCAGAGATGTTATTATAAATGCTGCTGGTGCAGTCTTAGGAAGAATGGAAAGGATAAAGTATAAGAATTGGTTTGATGGAGAGTGTGAGCAAGTGACAAATAAAAAAAAAAACAGGCATATAAGAGAATGCAGCAAAGGAACCATACTCGAGGGGCCGTGGAAGAATACCGTGAAGCGAGAAGAAAAGAAAAAAGATTGCATAAAAAGAAGAAAAGGGAATATGATAAACAAGAACTGATTGAACTGGAGCATTTAAGAAGTTCAAACGAAATTAGAGCGTTTTATCAAAGTTGAAAGGACTTTCAACCTAGAACAACCTTGTGTAGATAAAGAAGCCACAATATTGAGTAGCGATGAAGCAATACTGGAAAGATGGGCGCAATATTTTGAGGAATTATTAAATAGTAACGCCTCTGAATAAGTGGAAGGTATGACCATAGACTGGAATCAAGGAAATTTTGAGGCTGAAGAGCCAGCGCCAACCATAAAAGAAGTAGAACAAGCTATCAAAAAATTGAAAAATAATAAAGCTCCAGGAATGGATCTCATCACAGCAGAATAAGTGAAATTTGCAGGCCCAGAATATGCCAAGCACTTAATCAGCTAATAGTTTAGATATGGATAACTGAAATAATCCCAGAGGAATGGAACCTAAGTACTGTATGCCCTATCCATAAGAAAGGTGATGTCATGGTATGCTTTAATTATGGAGGAATTAGTCTGTTGTGCATAGCATATAAAATATTTTCCAACATTCTATTTAACACTCTCTCTCCCTTTGTGGATGGCATAATTGGGGATTGCCAATGTGGGTTTCATAAAGGAAGATCAACTAATGATCAGATTTTCACTATTCACCAGGTCCTTGAAAAGTGTAATGAATTCCAAATTGAAACACATCTTTTCATTGACTTCTGATCAGCCTATGACAACATGGATAGAGATAGTCTTTTTCTGGTAATGGAAGAGATGCACATTCCACGGAAGTTGATCGCCTCAGTCAGAGCCACTATGAGAAAGACCCAATGCCAAATTAAGATTCAGAATATGTTGTCCAGCCCTATAATAACTAGAAATGGAGTTCAACAAAGGGATTCCCTAGCCTGCCTTTTGTTCGGATTCCCTAGCCTGCCTTTTGTTCAATATAACATTAGAGAAGGTAGAGGTGCAGGCATCAACACAAGGGGAACTATAATCTCTAAGTTAGTTCAAATTTTGGCATTTGCAGATGATATTGATATAATTGGTAGAACACAAAAATCTATGAAATAAGCTTTTCTTAATTTGGAAAGAGCAGCAAAAAAGATGAATCTACAAATTAACCAAAATAAAACAAAGTACATTCCCGTAACCAACAAAGACTGTGCTAATGGACCTATNAAGGCTTGAATGGGCTGGAGACACAATACGTGCCGGCGAGAATAGAACCATCAAGAAAATGCTTAACACCAAACCAGAAGGAAATAGGAGAGTGGGAAGACCAAGGCTAAGATGGGAAGAATGTGTGTGTGTGGCAGGACATAAGAATTTTGGGTGTAAAGAACTGGAGGAATGTAGCATCGAATGGAGAAGTATGGCGAGTAATCCTGAGGAAGGCCAGGGCTCACAAAGGGCTGTCGTGCCAGTGATGATGATGATGAAAAAGTAAAGCTATCCCTGTAACAAGCCATGAAGGCCCATAGGGTTGTGAGACATCAAGACTCCTACATTTTCTCTAGACGGTTGGCTTACAGATGGCAGTGAGGTTGTCACCCTTATGCACCGGCCACCTTTGCCCCACAAGGAAAATTCTTGATACTCGTTTCTGTTAGAGGCTGAGTCGACCCCAAAGTTATAGTGCAATTGGAAGGATTAGGTCAACTGAAAAATCCAGTGACATTGGGAATTGAACCAGCAACCTTCCATCTTGTAGCATAGTGCCTCAACCAACTGCAAGAAAAAAAATAGTAATTTACATGAGGTTTCACATGATTTTTTCAGGAAGAAGTCTGTAATATGAAGCACACTGGGAACCAGTTCTCTGCAAATTTAAAATTGATATCTACAGAGGGCAAGAGAGATGGATGTGATTCTGGGAATTATTGTGGCAACGAGAGAAACATTTTAGCACCACCTTACTTTCCTAATGTGAAGAACATTTATTTAACTTACTTTATTACTATTAGTATTCACAATAGAACACTCTTATTTCATTTCTAACGAAACATATTTATTTGGAGTGGCAAGAGCCATGTTTGAATGTTATATCACAACTGGCCTTCTGATGTGAGAGACATCTGATATATTTGGGATAATGTTTAACAAAAACAGCAATACATACAGTGTCTCCTCTGAATCACACTTCCTCTTAGCTTGGGTGAAACCATAAGCACACATCTCTGATGACTTCATACTGGAGGAAGATTCGGCAGTGAATCTAAAATGTTAAATCATGAATACATATGCCACTGTATGCATTTCATAACACTGACAAATGCACATGTTCAGTCAAGTTTGTAAAATATCAATTTCCTTGCAGATTTTAAGCTGGGGCAAAGAAAAAAAGCTACAAAATATTAATACAACAAATTAAACTTACTAAAAACTGTAATCTTCTATCCTGAATACTGTAGGATGATCACTGAAATTAGTCTCAGATGCCCTTTGTAAGCAAATCTCTTAGAAAAGGAAATATGGATAAGGCAGCAGATGCAGTAGCAGCAGCAAGACTGTGCTGAGAGTACTAAAATGCTGCTTTGCTATGCTATAAAAAATAAACTGGGTAACGAAAACCCCTTGAAATTTTATATATAACTTCTAGCACCATGCTGGTGAATACATGTTTCAAGAACTTCAATCAGAAAGCCAAATGTAGCCTTTTGATTATATATTTATATAAACATACAAAATAGGTTGATTTTTTTCTATCCCATAATAGTTCATGTAATATGTATAAAGGCAGTACATACCTCACAATTGTGGGCTGATCAGCCATAGGAATACCCCAAGGCATTTGTGATGGTGGAACCTGGAGCCAGCCTGCAGAACTGTCATTACCAGTGAATCCACTAGGAACGAATTGCCCGAAAACTGAGGGGCGGGGCCTTTCAGCGTTCAAATAATTCTGGGCGAATTGCATGGTTCTGCTGAATTTCGTGCACTACACCTGAGAACAATTGTTTTTAATGTGCATAATGTTTACTTCTATGCCATAACCTACTATCACATCATGTAACCTGAATTTCTTAACTTCACAATTACAATTTCATTTTTTAAATTACCTGTAAACTATACGATATCTATTTACCGTTAAGCTCCTTTTATAATGACGTTTTGTTTGAATCCCCTTGCTCTACTTAGACGACTTCGATCACTTCGATGTTCGTACCAAATTAAGTTATGCAGCATCTGCAGGATAGCCAATACACCTTTTGGTAATTTTCCTCTAATTTCTCACTGGGTATCTGCATGATCTGCATGCTCAGTCGTGCACCATGTAGCCTGTCGCTAAAAAAATACCGGAGCCACAAATCCCCCAGCAAAGCCGCAGAGCAACCACAACCGCAACGAAGGGGAAGAAACACAAGATGAAAACCCACCAAAAAAATCATACAGAGACAGCGTCATAACGGAAACAAGAAGAAAAATAAATGCACCCCCACCTCCCAGGAGGGAAGCAACACTATATGGGACAAAAGAAGACGATGAAGAACTTCAAGCTGCAGTAAAAATGGCCTGGCTCTTCGTAGGCAGGCTCAGAGAAAACACAAACATAGACACAATCAAGAATTATATCAGAAAGAACGGGATAACAGACGGAGTTGAATGCGAAGAAATACAAACTAGAGGAAGAAGCAAAGCCTTCCGACTGGGGCTCCACTTCAATCGACTATCCGAAGTAGAAACGCCAGAATTCTGGCCCAAAGGAGTGCGAGTTGAACGCTTCCGATTTCGCTCACGACCATTCCAAGGCACCGACCTCAACGCTTAAGGACGGCAATAATCAAGAAACGACCAACAGCAAAAGAACATTGGATCTACTCCTGTGGAATGTGGAAGGATTAAAGTCAATAATGCAAAACGCCCCGGATACAATAACACAAAATCATGACATTATAGTATTAACCGAAACCTTTCTAACAGAATACACAGCCATACCAGGATATTACACAACGCACAGTTATGCAGTCCAAAAACAAGAAGGAAGACCTAGCGGAGGAGTCTCATGTATTTATAACAACAAAATAGGGGAAAAAATAGCGGAGTATAAAGAAGACAACATGGTACACATAACAACAACATACCTAGAAATAATAGGTCTATATATTCCACCCCAAACCAACATAGAAGATGCAATAGAGAAGATAGCAAGTGCAGTCAGTAGACTAGACCACAAAAAACCAGCCATACTCGCAGGGGATATAAACTGTAGAATTGATAAACCCGACAAAAAAACCCAAGAGGTTACGAAGCTACTACAGGAAGAAGGATTCTGTCTAGCAAATAGAACAGATGTGATGACATACATAGCGCCGAATGGATGCAGCTGTATTGACCTTGTGTTCAAGAAAGGAAACGAGATAGAAATAGAACAACAAACAATAAAAACATCATCAACTTCACCACTAAGGAAACACCTACCGATAAGCACAAGATTCAAATATGGGGGCAAAGAACAGCAAATGAAAACAGAAACAAGCACCCTGAAAAAAACAAGAAGAATCCAAAAATACATATTGGGAAAGCAAGAGGACATCATGCAAATAATAGAACAAAACGAAATCGACGATGCCGCACGGAAGATGACTGAAATACTGCAGAAGGCTGCCCCAACAGCCAAAGAGAGGAAGGCCAAAATATGGTTCGATGCAGAATGTTACAATATGAGAAAAGCAACAATAAAGGCACTACACAGAGCAAGGCAAACTCAGAATAGCAACGAACTAAAAGAATATGCAGAAAAAAGAAAAAGATACAAAGCACTGATAAAAAGTAAGAAAACGGAACACATCGAAAATGAAGGGAAAATGATAGCCGAAGAAGCCGAGAAAGACCCGTTCGTGGCAACCAAAACAACCAAGAAACAAATGCCACAAGAAGTAAATATAAAGATATGGGAACAGCATTTCACCAAGATACTTAGCCAAAATACACCCACCAGCAGCCCCCAAACAGACGACGTCAGGGCATGTCAACCAATCTCACATGCAGAAGTATTAAAAGCTATAAAAAGAACACAAAACAAGAAAGCCGCAGGACCAGATGGGATATATTATGAACATATAAAAGAAGCAAAGGACATTATATCAAAACCACTAACGGGACTATACAACAGATGCCTCGAAACTGGATCCATACCACAAATTTGGAGAAAATCCCTGATGAAAGTACTGTACAAGGGAAAAGGAGACCCAGAAGACCCGAACAACTACCGAGGGGTAGCGTTAGAAAACACAATGTTCAAGATACTGACCAAAATCCTAACTGACCGTTTAACAACAACAGTAGACTCACTTATCCCGGAAAATCAATTTGGGTTTCGGCCACAAAGATCAACGATACAAGCCATCACAGCACTACTAGAAGCAATTGAAGAAGCATTAAGACACCCACGAGGAAAATACCATGTAGTTTTCATAGATTATAGCAAGGCATTCGACCTACTCGACAGGAGTATAATCACAACAAAACTGAAGGAAATAGTAGGAGAAGAGAACACAACAACAAGACTAATAGGAGACATCCTCAAAAACAATAAAATCATAATAAAAGACACGGTGTCAGAATCCGAAGAAATAACCCAAACAAATGGCGTACTGCAAGGGGACCCCCTCAGCCCATTACTATTCAATATTACAACAGCAGACTTGGCCAAAACAATGGAAAAACACACAGGGGTACAATTAATTATGTACGCCGATGATATGACAATTGGAGGAAAAAATATTGAGGAGCTACAGGAAGCCTCCACTACACTGGAGAACTGGGCAAGACAAAACAAACTTCAAATAAATAAAAACAAAACCCAACTAATGACTTTCAGAAAAGGAGGAAGAAAAGGAAAAAATGATGAAATAAAATTTAATGGAGAACACATAAAATCAGTAAAACAATATAAATACCTCGGCTTAACACTGCAGTCTACATCTACAACATTCACAGCACACATAACAGAAAAATGCACAGCAGCCATCAAAGCTATATACACCATCCGAAACCTGCAACTATTATCGCTAGAAACAGCAATGAAAATATTCCATGCAAAAATTTGTCCCATACTACTATATGGCATAGAGATAACCTGGGAAAAACTATCCAAACAAAACCTGCGGAAAATAGAACAAGTGAAGGCAAGATACCTTAAACTAGCGCTAGGGCTTCCTAAGAACACACAATCCAGACTAACATACGAACTCTGCAAGGAAAATTTCCTAATAGAAGAACTCAGATATCAACTGCCAAGCACAAAAAACTCAGAGGAAGTTATCAAAGAAAGAAAACAAAAAAGAGAGGAAATATGGGAAGAGTTCTACAGCACTGATGCAATGACTGACAGAACCTGGACAGGACCCAACAGAAAATTACGACACACAATTACTAGGTTGGCAACACACGGATTCCACCACAAGATATGCAAGAACGAACGTTTCCACGAAGCAAATGACGCGTGTGTGTGTAAACACTGTGATAAAAAGTGCAGTAGATACCACATTACCATATGCAAAAACTTAACCACATCAATAACCGAATACAGTCGCGAATAGAAAACAATTACTTTATGCACATTGTGCGCTTTCCCTTATTATATATTATACCGACTGAGCTATCAATCGAGTTTAAAATTTACAAATATTGAATTATCTTTGGTCATAGTTCAAAATTAATTATGTTTTTGTTCTTGTAGTTTAATGGCACCCAGCATACGAGAGCTGTGTGATGTTGAGTATAAATTATTTTATAAATTGAATAATTTTGGGTTTTGTACAAAATTATTAGGAGCTGCATAAGAAATTCCCGAGAGATCGATCACTCTTATTGATACCCAAAATGGCAGTTTGTTCAGTGGTTAATGGTGATAACACTCAAGATCGCTCAAGATCAAGATTTCGTCAATGAGGGGAGTGAAACAAGTGAGGTAACGAGTGCTTGTTGTCTTAAATTTAAAATAGAACTCAGATCAGCACAAATAATTATTGAACCACTACAAGAAGAGATAAACGCCCAATCGTACCATAAGTACAGACTCTTGTTACTTCCACAGTTCGAACTAAGAAAAAAGAAGGGACTTTGTTCTTGTGTTCATGAATCTCCGCTGGAACATCCCCCTAAACTAACTTAGATTTTTTCATGGTTTTTCACAGTACCGCCAGGCAAATGTTGATTGGACTTAGTATCCCTAATCAGGTGACAAGCACCAAGACTTTTGAATACATTATTTACTAATCATCATACATTTGATCCTATATAGTTTTCTCTACGAATTGTGTTGTGAAATCACGAAAGGAAATGTGGTGCAGGAGCAGTTTTGAATGTTATTAATAATCGGACACAACTTTCAGTGCCAGAAGATATACTGTCCAACATCAAGATTGAGCCTGATGACAGCAAACTGGAGCTACAGATAGCCCTCAAGAAAGCACGGAGACTGTTACAGAATCAAAGAACAGTGTAGAAAAGGTACATCACATCGGCAGATTTCCTTTTTAATCCTTCTCACAAATGTTTGGCTGTAGTAAGGGTCATTTCTCTTGTTCAGTCAAGGCCATCTTCCCCTTACCTGCCGCTCTGCTTTTTCTCCCTGAGACAAGAGAAGAGCAGCCCTATGGATAGGTGGTGGAAGGTGATAAAATTGCCCCTAGCTACAGAATCCTGTGCCATGTTTAGTTCCTTCACAGTGTCTCCATATGTTCCCGTTATAAAATGTTGCACAGAACTTTGTAGTAAAGTTCGTTATGACGTTTCCTTCTTGGTTACTGTACAAAACCATTGTACCCTAGAGAAACTATATTGTAAATTAACCTGAGGACTATTAAATTGTTTCTCTCACAGTTTGTTATGGTGGGCATCAAACCAGTAAATCATATCTTGACATTTAAGTAATATCATCCTTTGGTACTGTGCTACAAACTGAAAGGTCATGGGTTCGATTCCCAGTTACGTAATTGGATTTTTAGATTGACCGAATCCTTCCAGTCATACTATGACCCTGGAGTCTTCTCAGCCTCTAACAGAAATGAGTACCAGGAATATTCTTAGAGGGTAGAGGGTAGCCGGCGTGTAAGGCTGACAACCTCGCTGCCATCTGTGAGCTTATTGTCGAGAAATTATGGGAGTCTCGACATCTCGCGCCCCTATGGGCCACCACGGCCTGTTACAGTGAGAGCTCTACCTTCTTTTATA